AGCGTTCGGCGCATGTTAATTCTGGTCCACTTTCCACTGGAGGAGGTCGTCTTTCCACCGCCGTCGGAGTTGGGTATTTTCGTCTTTCCACAGCTGGCGGCTGGTGTGACAACCAGTCGTCGTACAGTCGTTGTTCTTTCTGCAGCAAATCTTTATCCATCGCCGACTCAAAGGCCAATATCTGCCAGTCACGGTACTTCGCCGAGTTCACGCGGACATATCCCTCATTGGCCAGTACTCCATGTGGCTACCATTTTATCACATAAAAGTGAGGTGGGCACCAGACTGACGTCTGTCGTACGTTCGTAATCAGGACATGGGTTGGTCTTCCTCGGCGATTAAAAACAACCGTCGGAATCCAACCCTTCGTCCGTCGCACCCACAAGTCATGCGTCGACTCACTGGGTTGTCGCCTGGGCAATTTGAACTCAGCGGTCATTCGACTTTCGATCGTCAACCCGTCTGGTGGCCCACATGGGACATTTGGTCCGAACTCGGTCTTGGTCGGTGCATTACTTGATCGGATGAGTGGGATCATCATCTCATCGGGTAGCTTTACCGCCGAGTTGTACAGATCCACCAGCTGGGATCATGAAGTCGGTGCCGAGAATCAAGTCGACTCCGGCATGATGAGGCATTATCCATACTTCAAACTCGTATGCCACTTCCCAGCCGAGTGTCACCTTCACCACTGCTCTTGACGTTGTCACCATCCTGTCTTTACCTATTCCTTGTATGTCAATTCGCTTATCTCTGCTGGCCACTCTCTTGAGACGCAGTTTCCTCGCGAAGTACTCACTTATCGCCGAGACATTTGCTCCGGTATCCAATAATATCTTGGTCCTTCGGTCGTTCACTGCACCCAATACGAGGGCTCTCATTCTAACTCGACGATCAAACGTCTGTGCTGACCACCATCCCAGCCGTTCTCCCGGAAGCAGCTTCATTATCCTGGTACGATGCACAGCTTGGTCTGACTGCCGAGTTACACTTGCAATCGCTCGGTTGTTATCATCTAACTCACCGAGCTCACGCTCAATTCCGTCGATTTCACACATCCAATTGCCATCCCCGCTTCTTCCCTCGGGCCGTCATGCTTCGCCTACGAAGGCAAACAAGAAGTTCGCATCAACTGCAGGTTCAGCTGACTGTGGCAGCCCGGCATATTCCAACCCAGTCAGTGTTGGCGGGCCGCCGAGTTTAAATCACTCGGCGCGTAGAGGTTGTGCAGGTCTTCTGGCACTTGCGACTTGTCGACAGAGTTCTTCAAGAACGCAGCCAGCTTCTCATATTGACGAAACAGCTCGCACCGGCCGCCTTCATGGACTTGTCTGCAGAATTGGCAGCGTCGTCGACAGTAGTGAGCCGAGTGCCCCATTCTTCCACAAGCTGCACAAGGTCCTCGTTGGGTGTTGTCGCGTGATCCATCTCCACGGTTCGACTGTTCTCGTTGGTTGTACGGTCGCGGAGGTCGGTTCGCTGAGTTTCCCCAGCTTCGGTTCGAGCCCTTCTGGTCTCCCGCCGAGTTCTCTCGGCGGTCCGGTGTATTTCCTTTATCATTGGAAACGCCGGCGTCAATGTAGTCTTCGTCTTCCGCTGAGTCGTATCCTCCGGACTGGTCCTCATCATCCCATTCATCTTCGGAGTTGTACGGACTCGGCGGGTTCTGATCGATGAGTCCCTCTCCGTCGGAGTCAGCGTCAACGACAGTGACTCGGCGGTCGCGGTTTTCTTCCTTGCGACTTCGCTTCTCATCTCGGCGGCTCTGATCCTTCCGCTTGTCATCTCGACCTCGTGCGATCACGAGTCGGTCGCGTTGCTTCTTGCGCTTCTCGCCGAGGATCCGACGATTGATTATCTGTTCCACCTTACTGATGTCTTCCAACTGCAAGGGGTACATCAAATCCATCACATCGTCATCACCACAATGCAGCAAGAAGTGTTCGACATGGTCAGCTGCGTCGGCGCCACCCTTCTCGTACTGGATCTTGGCCGTCCGAGCATACCCGTTGAGTCGGATCAGGAAGTCGCAGATCGGTTCGTTGACGTTACGTCTCGCCGAGTAGTAACGAGTGCGGGCGGATTGGTCGAACTGTGAGCAATAATAATCCAGGAACGCCTCGCTGAGTAGTTTCCAACGTCGCTGAGTCTTCTTCGGCAGCTGCCTGTACCAACTCTTCGCCGGGCGTCCCAAGCATAGCGAGAAAGGCTCGCACCATGCACTTTGGGGCATCCTGGTGCTCTTCATCTCGTAGATGAAACGCTTGAGCCACTGGAGCGACGCGTCAGAGCGGTAGCGCTTTCCTTCGAACTCGGCGATTTTGTCGAGCGAGGCGTGGGCTCGGACTTCGAGGTACTGCGTCGAGTCCTCTTCAGTCGCGTCAAAGCTCAAGTTTCGGATGTAGTCCTTCACGGTTTCTTCACGGTTACCTCTCACGTTGAAGGCGTCGTCGTCTTCTTCATCCTCCTCGTAAGCATCAGCCTCATCTGCAGCGTCATACAATTCACGGTAACGACCTACATTTCGCTGCCCACGACTCAGCGCTCGCTGCGTCGGGTTTAGCTTCAGTGGAGTCAGCATGTGAGAGTCTTCGAAGTACGGAGTTCCTTGCGTAGCGCGGAACACTTCACGTCTCTTCGTCTCCGGGGTCTTCGGCAAAGGAATCTTGCTCGGGTCCTCGCCGAGTGGTTTGAACTCGGCTACTCGGCTGTACACCTTCTTCGTTCCACCAGGGGCTTTCTCCAATCCAAACGCCACTCTCAGCTTCTTCTTCCATTGCCAGAGCTCGGCTCCGCCACGGGTCAGACTCCAGTCGGACAGGATGAGGCTGTTCGGTCGGCTGTTGCACCGATAGCCCATCGCCTTCAACAGCAACACAGTTTCTTCCACCAACTGGTTGATGTTGGCTGCACGCACCGCTTGAGTTAACTCGGGACCCAACATCGGCCACTTCGCCTGCGCCATCGCCACCGGCGCGAACATCATCATCCATTTCGATCTCGTTCACATCTCCTCGTCGAGTCGATCCAACACTTTATTGGCGCTCGGCGTATCGGCGTTCCTCGTCGCTTTCGGAATAAGGGGCGGACGGTCCCCTTGAGCAACGCCATGTTCTTCTTCATCTTCTTCATCGTCCGCACCTTCGTCGAGCTCGGCGGATAAGTTGCGCTCGACAGGACGTGGGGCTCCCATGCGTCCCACCTGCAGCGTCAACTCTTCCACCTCGCCAAGTAGCTCGGCGGTAGTCTTCGTTTCTCCGAGCTCAGCGGTCTCGGCCTTCTCTTCATACTCTCCTTCACTTGCATCTCCGTTCTCGCTCTCCTGGTCTTGGCCATCCTCGTCGAACTGGACGGTTCGTCCCACCTCCATCGTCATGGCGATGAGTCGTTGATCCGCCGGGTCCGACCCCGCGAGAGGCGATCCTCCAGCCGTCGCTGGGCTTCCGTCGCTCGGAGTTGCTGATCCCTTGACCATCTTCACTCTTCTCTTTCTCTTCTCTTCCTCTTAACTTGGTTAGCTGGCACCTATAAAAACAAGCACACACTCCTGTTCCCGGGTCGCGGCACCAGTTGTGGTGTAGTAGAACACACAAATATCGTCAGATGTGGATTCCTTACACAAACCACAACGAATCGCCGAGTTAGGTCGGCGGTTTGTATGGCCTGCGCAGAGGGTGGTCCCCTCGCGGTCCGGCCCTTCCGGGACAGACGAGTGGCTCGCTTCCACCCGGTTCCGACTAACCAAGTCAGATCACTTCCGAGGCTCCGCCGAGTTTGGTTCGGCTGAGCTCGTTCACAACCCTGTGCCCTCCACCAAAGGATGGACGACGGCGCGCGAGCGCTTTTACAGGTCACCGAGCGCAGAGGCAGCTCAGCTAGAAGTGTTACGGCACCCGGGCTATCCGACGTACCGGCCCGCTGAGTATGCGGGACTTTCTTTCGCGCGTAGCGAGACTTTGTCCTACCCGGACCGACCTAATCTCTTGGCGCTACCAGTCAATACCCTACAAGCTATGCCTCTCGAGTATTGACGGCAGGCATAATCCAGCCCTATGCAGGGACTTACCGGAAAAGTGTACACGTGTCTTGGACTAAGAAAATTCTGCTCTGTTATCTTCTGGGAGCCCTTTCGGCTCCCCCTATTTAATCCTATGCTTCTCATACAAATATCTAATGAAATGTAGTCGTTTCGGATCTCTACCGACCCTTCAGCTGAGTTCCGGCGACCGTTGAGCTCAGCGGCTGTCCGGATAGCATATCCGGACAGATCGCCGAGTACTTACCGTGATCCTTTGTTCCTAAGCTCTGGGTTATCAGACCGAACCGATTCTTGACCTAAAGTAGGTCGGCGTATGGTCGAATCTGGAAATCCCTACACCACAGGATGTCCCGTATCCCGGAACGGAGGGGTCATTCCAGGAGCTCTGCCTCCCGACGGGATGACTCGAGGCCCGGTAGTTACTCCTCGCCCGGCCGTCCCGGCAGGGTGGTTCCCGTTGAGCCCGACGACCCACGTGCCCCTGACCAAGCCCGTTAGGGTGGTCATATAAGGTGGTCTCAGAACGCCGGTGGCCTGGCGTCGTGGGACCAAAGCACCTCGCGTCATCAAGCCCCTTCCCAGAGCTCCCCGTTGTCCCACGAGGACTGACGACAAACGAAGTGAACTCTTTTTTTAAGTATAAGAGAGGTAGTTTAGTGTATGTAAGGTCGAGAAGGTGTTAGACCTCTCTTCCTGTTAGCTCACAGTCTTATATTTCCCTCCTTCTACTCAAGAGGAATCCAAGCCAATAACCAAACTTCTATGTCATCTTACAAGTGTTCCTATCTACCGTTCCTGCAGCCACTAAACAAGACCGTACTCCCTAAACAGCCGCGGACTACCCGACCCTTTAAGGAAGAGGAGGTATACGACATCAAGGGCTGATACGGTGTTGACAAGTCATGCTACTTCTGCTGCTGGTGTGGTGAAGCGCCCGTTGGTTAAGTTGGGAGGTGGATTGATGGGATACGACCCTATCGGGTTTTGGAATGCCACCAGTGACGAAGGCGCATCAGCGCGTGCATACGCAATCAGCGATATCGGATCGGTAAGGTACAGTCATTTTGATACACGATCTACAAAGTACATCGACTGATTTGTACCCATGCCGGGTAAGTACGATATTACCTTTAAGGGCCACTTTGGTGATCATAGGATATGCAATGTAGTGGATCGCAAAGACTTTAAATTTTAACAGAGTGGAATTTGCCTCATCAGCAACAAGTGTCTTCGGTAACAGACTTCGAGGCTGTAGCGGGGGGGGGGGTATATTGACCCATACAGAAATCAAGTTAAGTCTACCAGGTACACGTGTCAGTCGCCGGAGTTTGCAGCTTGACTGGTCGATCGCCTTCACTCTCGCCCTCAACGCCCTTCGCTATAGGAAGCGGCCAAGTCTAGCAAGGAAAGGAACAAGACCCCGTACAGGAATAACAACACCCCACGTCGATCAAGGTCGACAACCAACCTGGCGCGTAGCCTGAAGAGTTTCCGCGCTACGCCACCCCCAACCATCCTGCGTTCCACCAAGACAGAACCAACCCAAGCCAAGCTTCCCTTCAAGTCCACCAGAGGAGTGTTACCAGCCCCACCGACGGGTACACAAGGTGAGCCCTCAGCAACCCCACGGTTTCGGAGTACCCCCTCCGTCAGTCGGTAGTCCGGGGCACGGTGTGTGAGATTGGATCGTAAGTTTTTTAAGAGCCACGCCACCACAATGGTGAGCGTGCCCGGATCTTCTGGTGACTCGGGGTTACACCGTGAGTCCCAAGAAGAAGAGGAAGTGCTAATCAAGCTGGAACCAAGGATGGGAGCGTCATCGGAAACTGATCGCCGACAACGCTGCTGTATGAAGCAGGATCAGCAGCTCGACATAGCCCTGGGAGGAGCTCTGCCGACAGAAACGAAGGATCATATCTTCTTGAAGAGAAGCCTCAACCTCCTCCCCATGCCTCCTCTGGAGGCACCTCAGATCGCAATGCGAATCGTGATCTGCCCGATGAGAAACCTAAGGTGAAAACCGAGGGAACCTCATCAACAACCGCTCCGCCAACGCAGAAGACCCCGAAGAACAAGAATTCGTACGCGTCGCGGAAGAAGCTCAAGGCCCCAGCTGATTCAGACCCCGATAGCCTCGGTGAGATCGCAGCGACCTGGTCTGACGATCAGTCGGAAGAAGAATACAACCAGCATGAACTTCAAGGTTTATGGCCAAGAACCCAATGATGCGGATCATACAGCCGCAGATATCTGGATCGCTGAAGGGACCGGTGACACCGCCACCTGAGACGACGAACAAGCTGGAGGCTATGAAAGCCATACTGTTTCCCCTGAAAGAAACCGGTGTCACGCCAGGCCCCTTTGCGGCGAAGGATCTGTTTGATCTGGAGCTCGAAACGATCCAGAACACACAGTTGGAGCTCTCGAGAAGCCGAGAGTGTTGGTCGGCGAGTCGCACACTCAGATCAAGACAGAGCCCAAAATCGCTGCTGGTCTGCTACGACCCCCTAAGTCGGGGGTCACGGGACCGGATCGTCCCCAACAATCACGCTATGCCTCCGCGGCTTTAAGTGCATATTCGGGAGAGTACCGTCGGGTGCTGAGCGGGATGCAGCTGGGAACCGTCGGGTGCCGCCGCTGCTGCAGGCTTTGACCGGGTCGTGGCTTCCAAGTGCGGAAGTCGAAGGCGGAGTTCGGAGAACGCTGGGGCGACCGACACTTGGGACAATCCCAAGCGGAGTGGCAAATGCTTTTTCAAGTTCAGACTATTGGAACGTTTTCCTAAAAAA